CCTGGAGCCTTCTTCCGGGCCCCCAAGTGGGTGAATGGTCCCAAGGCTTTGGGCCATCCTCTACTGCTTTCCCAGGCCACAAGTAGGGAGCTGGATGGGAAGTGAGGCTGCCGGGATTAGAACCAGTGCCCACATGGGATCCTGGAGTGTGCAAGGCAAGGACGTTAGCTGCTAGGCTACCACGCTGGCCCCCCTTGACTGGTTTTTATTCCATGAAAGCCTGAGCTAAGCTTCCTGCCCCACAGTTCAGGACTTCTGACCTCTATAAACTATGGGATAATAAATGTGTGCTGTGGCCAGTGCTGTGGCATAGCATATTAAGCTCATTCCGTATGGGTGTTGACTCAGGTTTGAGTCCAAGTCTTAGCTGCTCCACTTTGAATCTAGCTCCTTGCCAGTGGATGTGGAAAGCAGAGGGGGTGGTCTAAGGTCTTGGGTCCCTGCAATCACGTTGAAGATTTGGAAGAGAATCTGAATCCTGCCCATCTGTCGTTTGGAGAGTGAAGTGGAAGATCTTTCTTCTCTCCTCTCTCTGTAACTCTTTCAAATAAATAAAATAAATATTAAAAGAACAGATCAGAACGAAACAAGCTGTGCTGTTTTAAGCCACTGAATTCATAGTAATTTTTCACAGTAAAAATAAGAGGCAAACACACGCTCCTTTCACTTTAACATGTGACCTGTGGGTGGTACTTTAAGATTACACCAATATACTCTTTTATACCCCCCAAGGGTCCTCTATTGATAATTCTTGCCTGAATCAGTACTTTGATGGATGTGAAACAGTGATTTGGTGTTTTTTTCTTCTGTTTTTCACCTGATTTACATTTTTACTGATTTTTTTCATTCAGCTTTATTGGCCTGTAATTGACCAATTATCTATGTTTGACATGCGTATGTATTGTGAGAGATCACCACAATCAATTCAAATAGCATATTCCTCACCTCACATAGTTATTATTTTTTAGTTATCATTTTTTAGGTGTAGTGAGAACATTCAAGATCCACCTTGAGATAATTTCAAATATTAACAAGTGAAATGCAGCATTATCAAGTGCAATCACGAGACTCTACATTGGATCTGCAGATCTCCAAAACATATTCGTTGTGAGTAAGTGAAACTTTCATTCTTTGACCAACACTTAAGCAAATTAATGTGAGACAGAAAGTAGATTTGGGTTTGCTTAGAGATGGGGGAGGGGATTATGAGGAAATGGAGAGTGGCTCGGAATGGATATTGGGTTTAAGAACAGCGAAAATATTCTAAAATTGTCATGATGTGTGTGCAACTCTGATATCCTAAACTCCACCGAATCATACACTTTTAAAAAGAGTGAATTTTATGGTCTGTAGACTTCATCTCTGATAGTGGACTGTATAAAAATTTGCACCTATGGGGTCTCCATCCCAGTTTCCTGGCACTCAGTTCCTAAAAATCCTTGGAATCTCCCAAGCACTAAGTGTCTTTTTGTATGTTAAAGTACGCCTGAAGGCTGGGGGCTCCTGAATAGTCTCAGGATGGGCTCTGGTTGCCAAGGGAACCAATCACATGCCTAGAGAGTTTTCAAGAGGTATTGTTTGCATATTGGGTAATACATTTAAGGCACCCCTTACTTTAAGAGGGAGTGTTTACTCAACCTTATCCTTCTCTGCTTCCAAACGCTGTACTTGCTAGCCTGCTGTCCACTTTGGCTCCTGACTTCACTTTTTGCCGCTGTGTAGGTACAGAACTCATCTGCCTTTCATTTTTCAAGGCTCAGCCTGAGTCCCTGCCAACCTCCCTTCCCAAGTATTATAAGATATTCTTTGTATTTTCTGTGTATGCTGACTTTTTTCCTTGAACATTTACATCATCAGCTTATCAACCCACCCCATAATCAGATCTGTGCAACCACGGTTTTGGGTTTTTTGTTTCGTTTTTTTCTTTCTTTTCTTCTTCTTCTTTTATGATTTATCCGTTTACAAGGCAGAGAGAAAGAGAAAGGGAGAGAGAGAGAGGGAGAGAGAGAGAGAGAGAGAGAGAGAGAGAGAGAGAGAGAGAAACATCTTCCAGCTACTATTTCATTCCCTAAATGGCTGGAATGGCTGGAGCCTGAAACTGCATCTGGGTTTTCCATGATTCCATGTGTGTGGCAGGGTCCCAAGTATGTGAGCCATCATACATTGCTTACTGCTTTCTCAGGAGCATTAACTGCCAATTGGACAGCAAACTGAGTAGCTGGGACCCAAACCAGGACTCCCAAATGTGCTGTTAGCATTACACGTGGTGGGTGAATGTTGGCCCCCAACCAAATTGTTATATGTGAATATGGTATTGTGAAGATGGATCCAGTGTTATCATTTTTTTCCATTTGTCAGACAGGAAGATTTGGCTTCACAATCTCACCCTGTAAAATTATATCTATTGTGAGATCCTCAGTTCTATTATTCTTCCCTGCCTAAGTCATATAGTACTTTCAGAGATTGATGCTCAAAGATGTTAGGTAATTGGCTCAACGCTGCAGTAGCTGAACTCAAATTTTAAGCTAGGTAAAAATCCAAGTACTGCAGCCCTAACATCTACATAAATAACTGCTTCAATTGTATTGTGTTTCCCTAATTAGATTATTATGACCAGGAGGAAAAGGATTTATTTTGTGTTCTCTGTATAGTCTCTTCATTGCTCCGTGAGCTGCTCTACATAGTCAGGGCTCCCTAAATGCCCAAGTGGAGCTGCAGCTAACTGAAAATCAAATTACTCAAAAAAGGATTCCGATTTAGATTCATGATACAGTCATCATGGATTCTTAAAGGAAACAAGGCTGTTGGGGTTCATCCTTGGCCCCCTGCGCTCCCTGTTTTGGTGGCCAATCACACCTTCACAATGATTGGAGTTCCTTAATGAGTAACAAGTGATTAAGACAAGTGGATTGTCTGACACAGCTCCATCCTTCTTAGATTTTTTAACTTCTCTTCTGTTTCTTGGTAGCTCCTAGCCTCAGCAGGCCTGCATCTCTGCTGGTGCTTCTTTCCTTTGGCCTTTCTCACAGCCACGCCTCCTCTTCCATTGCATTTGAATGAGGCATTATACCTCATTCAGGCAGGTTTCTTCCCAGGTTGGGGGTGGGAGGATGTTGGGGTGTGTGTGCCAGGGATTATGATGTTGGGAGGGAGGTCAGGCGAGTCAGGCCTCTGAACCTCAGGTTATGCATCAGCAAAATGGAATTAAGCCCTCTCCTCTAATAGTTCCATATTTTCCCAATTTCCTGTTTAATAGATTAATACTTACAACCAGATGGAGAGATTGGGACCTAGAAATTGAGATGGAATTAATTTTCTGGGCACAGATGGTTGGAAACCATCTTCCATTCTCTTACTTCCATTGTCCAGGATGAGAAGTGAGGATGTGGGGTTACAGGGCTGTCCTTGTGAAAGGCTTTAGCCATAAGAGAATCTTGAATACCCAAGGCAGCTAAGGAAGACTGAGTTGAAGACTGGCTGCTGTTGCCCCTCCACCCTTCCCGAACACACCCATTCAGGGTGCCCTCCCCTCGCCTGACTCCCCATCCCTGTGAGTATCACTGATTCTAACAAGGTTCAAAGGCAGAAAATCTTGTGACATCTCTGGCTGGGAAGCTGATTGTCCTGCTCTGTCTGACCAGCGAGACAATCAGAAGCTGCCTTGCGCTTTCTCACTGTCCGCCACGCCAGGTTTCCAGTCGCTGCGGGAACCAGTTTCAGGCCCCACGCAATCCTTTTTCAGAGCCGAGGAGGGTGTGCGCGCGTGTGTTGAGGTTGTGGGGTGTGTGTGTGTGTGTGTGTGTGTGTGTGTGTGTATGCGTGCGCGCCCCTGTCTGTGTTGTGTCTATGTGATGGGGAGGAGGATTGGAGGTGGGATCCCATGACGTTACCGGCCCCGCCTCTGGGTGTATATAGGGGCCGCTTGGCGCGCAACGACCCCAAGCAGAGGCTTTGAAGCTTGAGCTACGGAACTCGGCAGCCTCAACCCAACTCGGCAGAACTCAGCCTGCTTGAATCCGATCGGAGACTCTGCACTCCCGGAGCTTGCACCAGCTCTCTGGTAAGCCTTTGGGGTCGACACGTGTGTCGGAGAGGGAACCGCGAGGGTGCCGGCATACCTAGGATTCTCTGTCAATCGCGGCATGCAGTTGCATCAACGCGGCCGTGACCTGTTGCTAGTGAGACCCCGGAAACCAAGGGCTCCCATCCCCACCCGAGCCCCCGAGCATTTCTTGATGTGGGCATAACATCCTGGTAGAGTCAGAAAGCATCGGGCAGAACCCCGAGGAGGGTGTGGGCGATCTCGGGCTGCTCTGGGCTCCCTCTTGGGGGTGCATCTCCAAATCTTTAAATGTCGAAGCCCCGCCTCGCTGTTGATGCTTGCAGGTCAGGCTATTGAGGAAGCGGGAGGAAGTGGGGGAACATTTGCTTACCCCCCTGGGTGATGAGCAGCGCCAGGCTGGCTGTAAAGGCTGGGTGAGGAGGGATGGAATGGAGTCGGGGCTCATTTGGGCTCTGTAGCCAAGTCAGCAACTCCACCTTCCCCCGATGGGCAGTCCTGGGGCAAGCGCTCATAGGGCCTTGGACACTGGGTGTGAGAAGAGGGTTCTCCCCAGAGTTCCTGACCTGCCCCGAGTGGAGTTCGTTTTAACTCCCAAGGATCACAGGCCAAGGACCAAACACATGAGGTGTCTGGGTCCTAGGTTGGGATGCAAGATAATCCTTATTGAGTTCCTGCCTAGAGAAAGAAGGGACTTAATACTGACTGAACACTTAGCAGGCACCAGACACTCTGCTATAGAGAGGCTTTCCACGTGCCTGTGAGGAAATAAGTCCTCCCAAACCCCGCATGAGACTGTAATTCCTACTTGTGTTTCAAGCATCTGAGGTTAGAGGTGAAGCGCCCTTTGTCCCTTCTGATCGGCTTGACTGTTACCCCATAGCTCGTTTTACTTGGCAGAGTAGGTTTTGTAATTCACTTTTAGAGTTGAAGAATAATGAGCCCTATTGAAGGGCTTTTGTCTTGTTTTTCACCAGAGCCTAGCATCCTCTTCAATTCCAGCTAGAATGCGGTGGCAAGCACTTCGCAGATTTGGTCAAAAGCTGGTACGCAGACGTACGCTGGAGCCAGGCATGCCTGATACTCGCCTTGTCAGATGCTTAACCACTCTGGATTTAGTGGCCCTAGGTGTGGGCAGCACACTGGGTGCAGGCGTGTATGTGCTGGCTGGCGAGGTGGCCAAAGATAAAGCAGGGCCATCCATTGTGATCTGCTTTTTGGTGGCTGCTCTGTCTTCTGTGTTGGCTGGGCTGTGCTATGCGGAGTTCGGTGCCCGGGTCCCCCGTTCTGGTTCTGCGTATCTCTACAGCTATGTCACTGTTGGTGAGCTCTGGGCCTTCACCACTGGCTGGAACCTCATCCTCTCCTATGTTATTGGTGAGACACAGTGGGACAGGGAGGGAGCTGCATGCACAGCCAGTGAAGGGGAGCTGGGCCAACAACCCTGGGGGAGGGTGTGGGGCAAAGTGGAGGTGTTCTTTATTGTTCACAGGACCCCAATGCTTCTGAGTGAGTAAGTGTGTGTGTGGTGGGGATGGTGGGGTTGAAGGTGGGACACAATTGTTCATTCTACTTACCTTTGCCTTCATTTCCTAAAAAGGAGGGGTTGGTGTGAGACTGCAGAAACGTGCCTCATGTTTGTTTGGTTGGTTGTTTCTCTCTGCTCCCACAGGCACAGCCAGTGTGGCTCGGGCTTGGAGCTCAGCTTTTGACAACTTGTTTGGGAACCATATCTCTGAGACTCTGAAAGGGGCTATCTCACTTCACGTGCCCCATCTCCTTGCAGAGTATCCAGATTTTTTTGCTATGGGCCTTGTGCTGCTGCTCACTGGTGAGCCCAAGGGCAGGGTTTGATTGGTAATGGGGTGTAGCTAAGAGGGCCTGGGTCCCACTGCCAAGGATGATGAGACCTGGGCTATGGAGGTGATAATGGTGGGAGAGCAGGGAAGCTGGGGAGGGACGATCTGCCACATAGTCAGAGAGGGAGAGAAACAGAGTCTGCCCCATGATCGTCTTCTCAGGATCCGATCTGCCTTTCTCCCACAGGGTTGCTGGCTCTGGGGGCGAGTGAGTCGGCCCTGGTGACCAAATTGTTCACTGGAGCTAACCTTTTGGTCCTTGGATTTGTCATCATCTCTGGTTTCATCAAGGGCAAGCTGGATAATTGGAGGCTCTCTGAGAAGGACTATGAGGTGGCTCTGAGTGGACTCAATGTCACCTCTAGGTTAGAGTCACCTTCGGGGGGAGGGGGGAGCGTGTGCAGAGCTGGGCACCTGATGGAGACATGGAAAGGGGGATTTTTTATTGAGAGTTTCTGGGTGGGGATGAGGAAAAATGGAAGACTGGGCCTTAAAGACCTGGCTAAGTAGAAGAAAGTCCAGGGATGGTTCAACACACCCTTTTTACCTTCTCCGTTGTTTTTCTTCCACTCTAGCTTGGGCCCACTGGGCTCTGGAGGATTTGTGCCTTTCGGCTTCGTGGGGATTCTCCGTGGCGCAGCTACCTGTTTCTACGCATTTGTTGGTTTCGACTGCATTGCTACCACTGGTAACACAGGCATTGCATTCTGTCTGGGGCTTGGGCACAGTGTGTGCACAGGTTGCATGCTGTTTGGGGGTGGTAGTGGTGTGAGCCTGCTTCCTTGATTCAGAACTTTGTGCTCCTCCCTGCAGGGGAAGAGGCCAAGAATCCGCAGCGGTCCATCCCCATGGGCATTGTGATCTCGTTGTTCATCTGCTTTTTGGCGTACTTTGGTGTCTCTTCGGCCCTCACCCTCATGATGCCTTACTACAAGCTGCAGCCTGAGAGCCCTCTGCCTCAGGCATTTCTCTATATCGGATGGGCCCCTGCCCGCTATGTTGTGGCTGTTGGCTCCCTCTGTGCTCTTTCTACCAGGTCAGCATCAAACATTGGTCTGCTTCTGCAGTGAGGCTTCTCATGTTCTAGTGTTCAGTGGCAGAGTCTGCACCTGCAAAGGGCTGTGAGGGGGAGGTAGAGACCCCTAAAGCACATAGGCTTGGGAAGAGGGTCCCACTCAACTCATGTCACTCTGGGCCATTCCCTCGCAGCCTCTTAGGCTCCATGTTTCCCATGCCTCGGGTGATCTACGCAATGGCAGAGGATGGCCTTTTGTTCCATTTCCTTGCCCGGATCCACCATGGCACACATACTCCCATCATGGCCACTGTGGTCTCTGGAGTGATTGCAGGTAAAGATTTATCTCTTTTCCCTTACTCCTTAGTTGTTTCACTCACTCCTTTTAAGCTTGTTATTCCCTTTTCTTATTTCTTGCCTCTTATTAATTTGTTTTAGCATTCATGGCATTCCTGTTTGAACTCAGTGATCTTGTGGACCTCATGTCAATTGGGACCCTGCTTGCTTACTCTCTTGTGGCCATCTGTGTTCTCATCCTCAGGTGAGATTACCTTCCTCTGCAGACTGTGATTTGGGTTTTGTTTCTAATTAGAGAGAGCATGCATGCTTTCATCTGTTGGCTTACTCCCTAAATGACTGCAATAGCCAGAACTGGGCCTGCATGAGGCCCTGAGCTAGGAACCCAATCTAGGTCTCCCCTGTGGGTAGCAGGTACCATACTACTTGAGCCATGAATGCTGCTTTCCAGAGTCTCATGTAGGCCCTCCAGTCTGGGATATGGATGTTTTAACTACTAGCCTCAACATCCACCCCAATGTGATATAGGCTTTTGTTTCTGAATTAGGAACAATGGGAATCATCCTTGCCTTCATTTGGGCTTCCCTTGAAGAATGCGGATAGCTCTTCTTGTCTATAAGAGTTTCTACTGTTAACAGGGAATGCTAAGCTACCTGAGAGAAGGTGGTAAAGTAGTTAAGGGTTGTTGTTAATACTTCTCTCTTGCTTTTGCGCAGGTATCAGCCTGACCAGGAGATGAAGACTGGGGATGAGGACGAACAGTTGCAGGAGGAGAAGACACCTAAAACAGAGAAACTGACCTTTCAGGGACTGTTTTATCCAGTCCATTCTATCCCAACTCCACTCTCTGGTCAAATTGTCTATGTTTGCTCTTCATTGGTTGGTGAGCAGTGGAATTTTTCTCTGGGGTGGTTCTGAGATCAGCATGATGGGGTGGAAGTACACAGTACCTGGTTGGTGAGAAAGAACTAGAAAGGATGACCCTCCTTGAAAAAGGGTGCCTAATATCTTAGCATGTTGGTCTCAGGAATTGTCTCTCAATTTGACTTTTGAAGCTCTGCTGCTGACTCTCCTTTGCCTGGTGTTGGCCCAGTGGCCAGGTCCTCTGTTTTCTGGAGACCCAGTGTGGATTGCAGTGGTTGTATTGCTCCTGATGCTCATAACTGGAATCATTGGTATCATTTGGAGACAGCCACAGAGTTCTGTCCCCCTTCATTTTAAGGTAAATAACCTCCCCCTCAGCCTAAACTCCTCATGGGAAGATAAGGTACCTTGAGATCCAACAGAGTTCACAGATCTCAATTGGACATTAAGCAGAGGATAACGAAGGTACTTAGGCCAAAGACATTTTCTCCTTTATTTGCAGGTGCCTGGTTTACCTCTCCTCCCACTAATCAGCATGTTTGTGAATGTTTACCTCATGATGCAGATGACATCTGGAACATGGGCTCGATTTGGGGTCTGGATGATGATTGGTAGGTATCCATTTGGAAGAGTAAGCTTCTTTCATGTCCTACCCCAACTCCATTCCATCTTGATCTTTTTTTCAGAGGCCTAATAAGTATATAGATCACTACTTCCCCACCTAACTGCTATGTTTTTTCCACTAGGGTTTGTGATCTACTTTGGCTATGGAATCTGGCACAGCCTGGAAGAGCTTAAGAATGTCAAACCCTCACTTAAGTCTAGGGCTAAAATTCTAAATCTTCATGTTAGCAGTTCCTGTAACCACTAGATTTGACACCATCACATCTGAATGTTCTCTATTCCCCCTCATAATGGAGAGTGCTCTTGACCCCAAGGAGGGCCAGATCTTTCCCTTGCGGTGTTGATGGAAGATACTAAGTGGGCTCTGTATTTATCATAGAGTAAAGATGTGTCTTTCCGCTTTCTTGCCTCTTTTTTTTTTTAACTTACCTACTTTCAAATGGTCTGTGTAGTTGCTTGCTGGCTTTAACAAAATCATTAATAAAAGCTGATAAAAAGAAACCATGTCTTGTTCTTTATTTGCTAGAGATGATTATGGACCTGACCTGGAAGGTAGAGAGCTTCAGCAGAAGTGTCCTTTCTTTTATTTCTAATCACCACACAATTATCTATTAGGGCCTGTGTGTGCTGCTTGTTGATTCAGGGTTTAGGGAGGGTGGCATCTACAGTCCTCAAATGTAGTCACGCTTAAAGGAATGATCACAAGATGTGTTTGCCCCTGGCTAAACCAAAGATTAGATACTGGGAAAGGAGGGAGTAGCATTTGTCTCTGGGATTTTGGGGTGGATTCTGATTTTAGCCCTGGCATTGGTTAAGGCCTACACTGACACTATTGTCTTCCATCCCACCTCTTCTAGCTGGACCAGTCCCAGACTCCTTTGACTGTCTGGGTAACAGAAAGTTTGGCTGGGGTGTTTGGCACAGCTGGGAAGAGGGACAGATGGTAGGGGGGGTTTGGTAAAGGACTGAATATATATGGATACCAGGTGCTACAGAAGTAGGGGAACAGAACTGGGGAATAGAGTACTGCTTAGACCAAGAACTACTAATTTACCCCCTTTTCCAGCACACATCAATGAGGCTCCTATAAGATGCTCAGCCTTGTGCTAGGTGCTAGGAACATAAACATGAACATAGTCCCTACCCTTCGAGGAAATAATTTAGTGGGAGAGATAAATAGGTAAGCATGACGACAAAACAATGTGACTTGTAGCAATGCAGGGTTAAGTGCTTGATGTTCTGGCAGCACAAAGGACATGCTTACCCTGAGTCTGGAGTGGGTACTTAGGAAGTGGACTGAGGGGGAAGGCTTAATTGTCAATGAACAGTGCAGGAAACCATGGGAGTACGAAGGAGCAGATTGTATCTGGGTCATAACATACAGTTTAATGTGGTTGGAGATGTGTGTGTATGGGGTTGTGATAAAAGATAATAGACCTTCTGCATGGCTATGGACAACGGACTAAAGAATTCAAATTTTACTTTGTAAATGATAGTGAAGGGAAGAGGTAGAGAGTCGAAGGATTTCAAGCAGAGAAAATTTTTTTTAAAGATTTATTTTTTTATTTTTATTGGAAAGGCGGAGAGACAGAGAGGAAGATCTTCCGTCCGATGATTCACTCCCCAAGTGAGCACAACGAGCCGATACTATGCCGATCCAAAGCCAGGAGCCTCTTCCGGGTCTCCCACGCGGGTGCACGGTCCCAAAGCTTTGGGCTATCCTCTGCTGCTTTCCCAGGCCACAGGCAGGGAGCTGCATGGGAAGTGGAGCCGCCGGAATTAGAACTGGCGCCCATATGGGATCCCGGGCGTGCAAGGTGAGGACCTTAAGCACTGCGTCATCACGCCGGGCCCTAAGCAGAGAAATTTTGGAACTTCTGCAGCAGGGTTGGAGTAGATGGGAGGGAGATAGTAGCAACTGTGTTTTGTAAACATCCATTTATTTTATTTGGAAGTCAGAGTTATAGAAAGAGAAGGGAGAAATAGAGATCTTCCATCTACTGGTTCATTCCCCAATGCTTGCAATGTCCAGAGCTAAGTCAATCTGAAGCCAGGAGCCAGGGGCTTCTTCCGAGTCTCCAAAGTACCTGCAAGGTCCCAAGGCATTGGGCCATCCTCTACTGCTTTCTTAGGAATGTTAGCAGGGAGCTGAATCATAAATAGAGCAGCTGGGGTTGAATTGGCAACCATATGAGATGATGGCTTCACAAGTGGAGGATGAGCTTGCTATATCGTACACACCGGACCCGAATATTTGAATATTTATTATATTCTTGATATTCTACATATAGTTTCATTTAGTCCTTTCAATACCCATAGAGTGTAGATGTAAGAATCAGTATTTTATACAGTTGACAAAATAGGTTTTAGCTAGGACGTAGACACTAAGTGGCATAACTTGGAAAGTCTGGGGTTAGGGTGCACATTTAGTTTTGTCTGACTCTAGCCTGTACTATCTTTTTAAAAAGATTAATTTACTTGAAAAGCAGAAAGAGAGAGAGAGGGAGGGAGGGAGGGAGGGATTGAGAGAGAGAGAGAGGCAGAGACACATGAGAGAGAGAGTGGGGTGGGGGGAGCAGAGACACATGGGAGACCTGGAAGAAGCTCCTGGCTCCTGGCTTTAGATTGGCTCAGCTCTGGCCATTGAGGCCATTTGGGGAGTGAACCAGTGGCTGGAAAATCTTTCTCTCTGTCTCTCCTTCTCTTTATAAATTTGTGTTTCCAATAAAAATAAATAAATCTTTATACAAAAAATGTATAAGAGTTTTATTTCTAATATGTGACAATGAGTACTTAGAGTTAGGAAAGAGGTCTTGGTTGGAGTTACAGATTTAGGAGCTGCATGAGTCAGCTGTTCCGTAACAAATCATCTGAAGCATCCCGAATTTACTTTAAAAAAGTTTTTTTTTTTCTCACTGTTAAGCATCTATTGAACTTTACAAAAAATATTTTTAAATTTTATTTTTGATGATGTTTACATTGTTGATCAGAGTGGGAAGGGTTTAGGATCAGAGGAAAGTGGGCAAGACCATTTTTTATACATTTTCTTTTTCTTCTTCCTGTGTCTGGGAGAAGGAAAGACACTATGGGAGAGACCACACCTAGCCTGTCTAGTACCCGATGTCATCCCAGGGTCCTCACTGTGGAGTATGTTCTGATGGTTCCTCATAGTTCTGAGATGCTGTTGATATCACCACTCTAAGGATGAGGAAATCCTTCCAAGGTGGATTGGCTGACTTAGTCCACTTCTGAGTCTCCATTCGCCCAGAAGTTTGCTATCAAGTTTCACTAGGGTGGTTGATCAATTTGTTCTGCCCTGCTTCCTCTGCAAACCAATGGGTACTGCTGCCCAGCCCAGCCCTGCCCACCACACACTCAGCCCTCACGTACATCAAGGGGAGCTGCAGCCCAGACAGAGCAACCCCCTAATAACCACCATTGGACTGGCCCCAGCTCTGGTTCCTGTGCCAGCCAGCATGTACAATGGATTGGCACCCTAATTTATAAAGAGGTTTGTTTTGGTTCACCATTTTGGAGAGTCACAATCCAAGACTGGGCAAGCCCCTGCTAGTTCAGTGTATGGTAATGGAGTTTCTGCTGGCATGGTTCTGAAGTGGTACAGGGCATCAGGCGATGAAGAGTCAGCAAGTGCTCATTTCTGTATAAATATCTCCGTGTCTATGTAGCTTCTTAGAAAATTTCCAGCTTTGGGCCTGGCACAATGGCTCAGTTGGTTAAATCCTCAGCTTACAAGTCTTGGGATCTGTCCTCGGCTGCTCCACTTCCCATCCAGCTCTCTGCTTGTGCCCTGGGAAAGCAGTAGAGGATGGCTCAAGACCTTGGGATCTTGCACCTATGTGGGAGAACTGGAAAAGGCTCCTGGCTTTGGATTGGTTCAGCTACGGCCATTGTAGCCATTTGGGGATTGAGCCAGCAGGTGAAGATCCTTCTCTCATCTTCTCTCCATAAATCTAATCTGCCTTTCCAATAAAGATAAACAAGTCTTAAAAAAAGAAAAAAGCATGAAAACTATGAGGTTTCAGTTGTTGGGCCCCACTCTAATGACCTAATGCAAACTAACTGCTTCTCATAGGCTTCACCTCTAAACACCATAATTGGATTAAGTATCAGCACTCTTGGCTGCTCCATATTCCATCCAGCCCCCTGCTTGTGACCTGGAAAGGCAGTAGAGCCTCTCGGAACCCTGCATCTGCGTAAGGGAATCAGAGGAGGGCTCCCAGATCCTGGCTTTGCATCAGCTCAGTTCTGGTCATTGCGGCTACTTGGGGAGTGAACTGGTGGATGGAAAATCTTTTCTCTCTATCTTTCTTTCTCTCTGTATCTCCCTTTCAGTAAAAATAAATAAATCTTTTAAAAAATACTTTAATTCAGTGTAACATTTATGCAACCACTACCAAATAGACTTATGTTTTCCAATAGGTGATATGGAAAGATCTTCAAAATGCTGTTTAAATCAAAAGAAAATGAAACAAAATGAAAATCCCATGATGCAGAGTATTTTTGAAAGAATCAAAGAGGATGTAGTTCTATTTTAAAAAAAGAAATTTTCTTTAAAATTATTTATTTGAAAAGCAATTACACACAGAGTAAGAACGAGAAAGAGAGAGAGAGAGAAATAACTTTCATCTACTGGCTCATTCATCAAATGACCCCAACAGTCAGGTCTGGGCAAGATCAAACCCAGAAGCCAGAAGCACATCTTGGTTTCCCATGTGAGTGGCTTTCCTAGGTGTGTTAGCTCAGCAATGGTTTGGAAGTGGAGTAGCCAGGACTTGAGCTATCACATCATAGGCAGTGGCCTAACTTGCTGTACCGTAACACTGGTCCCAGGAGGATATATCTTTTTTTACATATTTTTTCCAGTTACCCTGTGGTTTTTCTTCTGTATTTTCTATTTATGTCAGACACAAACATTGTTTTTCCATTCTTTTTATATTGATCATAAAAGTAAAATATTAGGCTTACCAATTACATCAACAGAGAAAGAGGACTCCATGAAGCAGGTGAAGAAAGAATGACCAAAGAAACGAGTCTGATATGCAAGGTTAAAAAGGAAAGAACTTTTCAGGAACAATCAATGGTGAAATGCTGTTTAGAGAGCCAAGTCAAGCCAGAAAAGGCCAGATCAGGGTTCACAGGCTGTATCAGGGAGGGGGTAGCTGACTGTTTCACCAGTCTGGTAGGTAGGGATGGAAGCCCCGTTATAACGGGTTGAATGAGTGAGTGGGGAGTGAGGAACTGGGCACTGGCTAGCATTTTAGGCAGTAGCTGAAATGATTTCAGGGAGAGCTTTCAGTTTAGTTTTTAAATAGGTGACTTTTGCATCAATATGTTGAAATAACATTATAGGAAGCAGAGTTGTGGAGCAGTAGATTAAGCCACAGCCTGTGAAACCTGAAACCCACATCTGAGCACCGGCTCCAGTCCTGGCTGTTC